ATATAGATATATATGTATCTTTGTAGCTCCATAGTTATATTGTATAGCTTATTAGTTAGTCATTGTTTAAAATTGTTTTAGTGATCGTATTCGTTATCGGATTGGTGTTTAGAACTCAACGAACTATATTTCGATATTCGATATTCGATTATTGTATTTGTGTGTGATACGTTTAGTGCGAATTCTCGTTCGGACAGCTTTAGTTACCGTTATCGACCTATATTTGATATTTAGAGCTTAGCGAGTTTTGTTTCGATATTTGATATTCGATTATTGTTTTTATTTGTGATACGCTAAGTGCGAATTTCCGTTCAGACAGCATCTACCGACTGCCTCCCCTCTACTTGACTTAAGTATGTAAGTATACTTATCTAAACCGAATAAAATTCAAATTAAATAGTAGCATATTATTATAATATGTATGTATATTAACTGCCACGTAAACATTTCCAATGGTCGACTGTTGCTGCTTTGTGCGCTTTCCACTGCTTACCCCCATATCTTTGATCGCAATTCTATTCATGTTCTGTTTCTGTGTAAAACTCTAATAAAATGGATTATTGTTGTTTGGTAGATGCATCTGTATGTGTACATATATGTGTTTCTATATATGTGTGTCTGTGTGTGCGTGTGTGTATTGCATATATATTGCTTATTCCAAAATCAATACAAATATATATATTTCATATATATAGATGCATGTAAATATATAAATTGTAAGAATTGTTCATACAAAAATTTAGTAGGTACGTTACTTTAGACCTCGGTGTTTCTCAAATTTGTTTTATTTGTTCATTGATACTTGGACACTTGCCTGTTTGTTTGTTTTATTTTTCACTCTTCACTTTTCGTAGAAAATATGTTTACCCAAATAAACGTTTGAGTAGAACTCCCCCAACGACTGCTAGTAAAAAATTGCCTACCCCCTCAACACTCAAGTACATTGTGGTGTCTTAGTTCTTAAGCCAAGCAGCATTTCGATATAAATAGCAAAGATGACGAGTATAAACAATCTTAAAAACTGCGTGCCCTTATACTCTACGGCATATTCAAGAGTAGTTTTTGATGCACATATACATATGTTAATTATATATGTTCTATTGTACTGATGTGAGTGTGTTTATGTATATAGAACTATTGGAACACGTATAAAACATCTAATAACTATTTTAGTTTAGGTGCATTGCGTATGACTCTTTCGCTTCCTCATTTTCTAACTTTTGCACTTTCTGTTTGGTATTTTTGCCTGACTAAGGGAGCCCGCCCGGTTGTGTAGTATACCCTTGCAGAGGGTCATATCATGTATCTCTTATCATCTGTATACATATTTATATAAACAGAACTGTCATAGGAACAATTGCTCGCTAAAAGATTTCTGCTTGATTCTCTGATTTGCACATCGCGTGAGTACATTGTATCTATATTACATCCGATGAAAACAATCTATTGATAGTGAATTCTTTTTCCATTTTGCTATAATAATGCGAAACCATTTCTGCATTTAAATGATTACATATCTCTTCATTTCTGCAAGGGTATCCAAACTTTGTGTAATCTAAAATATCTGCGCTTTCTCAGCTTATTTACGATATATTTATGTTTAGCTATCCCCGCTCATTCTGTTAACGAATTGGTCCAACTCATGCCCTTGGCCTCAGTTCACGGCTTCGACTTCTATCACAGTCCCTCTTCCTGCTCCCTCGCTCACTCTCCGTTCCATCGACTGCTTCGCCATCTACTCTCCGCTTTCTAATTTTTAGTGTTGATAGCTTATAAAATATATATTTATGAGTATGTGTAGGTGTGAGTTATGTGTGAGTGGGTGTGTAGTTGTTTATTTCGCTGTTTACTACTCATAGAGCTCCACATTGCGTCGGGGCGAGCAGGTGCCATAGCTAAGCTGCGAGTCGGTCTTCTTGAGTATGGAGACATGATGTGTGGGTGCATCTCCCGATCGATTGGTCATAAGAGAGTCCTGCTTGTGGAGCAGGCCACGTCGCTGGTCGGCGAACGAGATAACCGAGTCTTGTTTGACCAACTGATGACGGCGCGGCTCTGGTCGTTGGTCCACAAAGCTAATCACCGAATCCTGTTTGACGAATTTCTGTCGCTTATCGAGCAGGGAAGATGACGCCGCTGTGCCAGCGAGGCCACCGATTCCTCCGATGCCGCCGATGCCAGTGATGCCACCTATGCCACATCGACGGGAATCAACGGAAATTGTGTCCTGTTGAGTCAGTGTGGAGTCCACAGAACGTTCCTGAGCGCGACGCGCCTCCATGTACGAAACAATTGAGTCCTGCTTGGAGAGCGAGATCTTGCTACCATTGCTGTCCTGCTGGCAGAGTAGACGCCGATTACCGGAGGCATCGCTACAGGAGCTCTCCTGCTTGATGAGAAACTGTCGAGAGCCATGCGAGTCCTGCTTGAGCAGCATCTGCTGTGACAAATTGCTGTCCTGCTTCATCATCAGGTTATGGCGGCGCAGCGAGTTGTGCTCATAAATGTATGACACGGCATTGGTCTTCCTCAAGCCCGGACTGCTGGGACTCTTGCGTGAGCCATGTGGATGGTAATGCGAGGACTTGCGAGTGCTCGTAGTGGACGAGGCTATGGCCACATTGTCATAGTATCTAAGTGTGAGGAAAAGAGAAGGAAAGAATGAATGAGTCCACTGTTGCGATCTAGGTGAATCCCACTTATGAACCCACCTGAGTCTTCCGCAGCAGCTGCGAGACTTGATGATCGCCGCAAAACCCCGTCGATACTTTTTGTTCACGGAGTAGAGTATGGGATTTATGCAGCTGTTGGAGGATCCTAGCCATTGAGCAAGCGGCATTACCTTCTTCAATATCTCGAACTCCTCCTGCGATATATCCGAGCCAAATTTGATACGCGCGAAAATCACGTAGAGCGGCAGCCAGGATAACACAAATAATATGACAACGGCCACCAACATTTTGATGACCTTCACCTTGCTCTTCTGCTGCATGCGGTCCAGCTGAGCGTCCTTGGAAAGTTCGCCAGGTATGCTGCGCGTGGAGACCTTGATCCAAATGAGCACATAGCACAATGTTATCAAGGACATGGGTAGCAGATAGCAGGCCACCAAGTTAGCCAGCAGAAAATACAAATTGCCATCGGTGCCCGGTGGCCACACCTCTTGGCATAAATACTGCGGCTGCGTATAGCTGGAGACGAGTGCATCCGAGAAGACCTCCTCGGCAGGCACTAGATCGAAGAACAGCAGCCACGGTATGGTGGTTACCAATGCGATGCCCCAAATGCCGATTATCATGATGCGTGCTCGTCGCTTTGTCATCTGCTTCAATGGCCACCAAATGGCAATGAACCTGCAAGAAAGAATTTTTCAACAGCTGCTGCTGCGACGCCCACTCCATCCCCAACGCCATTGCAATGCCGTTGCTATGCCATTCCCACTCAAATCGGCACCTCGTCAAGGCTAATGGCAATCGGGATGACGATGACGACATGCAAATATCTTAGCCTGATTAATTCGCACACGCAGGATGCCTTGACTGAGACCAGAGACTGTGCATCCTTAAGCCTTTTTCTGCTGACTGCTCGGCTTTCCAATCTCGACGGCTCCGTCTATTGAACTCCCGTCGCAACACGTGCGCCTCCCCTCGCTCAGCTGGAGCTGCCCCCATTTTTTACTTGGCCTGCCATAATCAAGCGTAATTTGAATAAGAGCAGCAGTTACTAAAGCGGGGTGCGGAGCGGCAGCAGGGGCAGTTTTTTGGCAGTTTTCATTCGGCTTAGTGCTAACCACTTATTATGGCATCCTATTCAATAGACCAGCCACAAGACCGCACTCGTTGCAGTCGGCGTCATTCACAAAATAGAGAGTGCTTGACTACAAGGTATCTAGATGTGCACTGATTCCAAGTCTATATACGTCTATACTTTAGCCAAGATACCCTTTGTATGCCCTAGTATCCAAATACGTATATCGATGATGGTAGATATTTTGTGATAAATATGAAGTGAGGACTCACAATATCCAGCAATACTTTCATTTCATTTATATTTCCTATACTGACTTGTACTTTGTAGTCCTCCTGTTATGTTTCAAAAACTAATTCTAAATATTAATACACATCGATATAATGGGTAAATAACAGGAAGATATCCTATTTATAAGGATACACATTTTTTTCTGTTCCATACACTTGCAGAAAACAGTACACCCTTTTCGAAACATTCGCAATGGGTATAATAATTATGGGGCTAGCCACGACTCCAGCCACAATTGCTCAACCTCTACCAATCTCTCCAGCCATCCTCTACCTCTGTCCCTTGCTCTGTTCTCTAGCACCCATTGTATGTTTTTTTGGCCACTTTGTTGTCGTCTGGGCGGGCAAGCGTTTTGCTGATAACGAACACAACGGTAATTCCATTAGGGCCCAGCCACAACTTTTCAAAGCCAATATCAAATTGTCATAATGTTTATTTATAGACCCAACTATATATATATATGTATATGTATATATATAAAGGGAGCTAGATATATATTTAGATATAGCGATTGCATTAACATAATTTGTCTGCGGGATTTGGTTGCCAGTCTAATTAAGTTTCACGTGCTGGCCAAACATGGGGTCTCCTGACCGATCTGTGACCGGGATAACCGATTATATTCTGAGTTATGACTAAACGGAAGACAACATTTCTCGTGCTCCCAGGCTGCCCCGACTGAACAAAAGTTTTCACAATATTATGCGCACAGCAAGTTATTTCCATAAAGAAAGAACAAATTTAATAATTGGCACACACATTGGCATACACTGGCATACACACACACACAATCACAGCTCGAAGTTTTGTACTTTTATGACTTTTTCCCCTAGTGACAAGAATCTTGAATGGTATAACAGGAGGTTACCCGACTACAGCTACCCTGTAGCTTAGTGATTACCTTCTTCATTCCAATCTCTCTCTCTCTCTCTCTCTCTCTCTCTCTCTTTCTGTTTCTTTTCACATGAATTCAAATTGAATCCAGATTGATATCGTTATGGCCGTTTTCTTTACATACTTGATTCTCAATGGTAATATCAGTGTACCCATTTCCCATTACAGGGTATTAGAGCAAAAGTAGACAAGACAGATGAATGAGAAATACTTTTTCTGCTGCTCACATTTTAGGGCAACTCTCATGAAAATTCCGGCAAACACAAAAGCCGCACAGTCGTTGGCATAAAACTCGAACCCACAGACGCACACACGTTGGCTTATCCATGTGATAATATTTATGTTATGAGCGGATGGGAGCCTGAGAGGCTGACGATGCATATCTATAAAACTAAGAGCCCTAATTAAATAGCATTGGCTAAGCAAGTGATAAGCAAGGATGTGCGTACGCTTGCGTCCAGGACATTGCGTGCCGATTTAAGTTTCATGTTACAGATAATAAATCTTAAATTTCGAATCGTTTTACGAGCGCTCGTAAAATACAAAGAAATACAAAACAACTCAGAACGAGATTGACATGAAGCATGGGCTTGCGCTGCAATACGTGCGGGCAACCAAACGATCAAATGATATAGTGTCCTGCTGTTCTTCTTCTGCTCCTCTCGCTCTTATTCCGCTGAATAATGACAACAGCAGCAGACGCCGCCTCTGCTGCTGTGCCTGAGGCAGCTGTCGCTGAGAAATTGATATAAATGAAAGCTGCACATAAATGCGGCGCCTCTGTCTTTATCCTGCTGGAGTGCCCCACAGCTCAGCTGCTGTCCTGCTATGCTGTTATCCAGTGGCACGGGCAGTGCCACACGTCAAAACGTTGTCAAAACGTTTTACTGCCACTTGATAAATCAACTGGCCACAGCATATCTGACTTTATGCGCATAGATTTAAGCTGTCAAGATATCTGTTGTATCTTTTTTATACGCAACACTCCTTGAGTAACGCTGCTAGCGAAGTTTAGGGGCACCAATGGACAGTATGGGAAGCTGCATTGATAATTGAATGACAGCCCAGTTTGATTTATTCCTCCATAACTTTCATCAATATCTATAACTATCGATTATGTTAGCAGAAATTGACAAGTCTGCATAGTAAGGCTAAGTAACTTAAGTACTTTTCCTTAGACACCATGGAATGATAAGTTAGAAAACTGATAGGAATTATAAAATTGACAGACAAAACTCAATATAGGGGAATGCTGATTCAAAAGCAATGTAAAGCTGAGTTCAAAGAATAGTCGAATCTCTTGAGTGAAGATTCAACTGTTCCAAAATCTAGGCTAATTTTGTCCTAAGCTGACTACAGGGTATGTACTAGGTGACCTTTTGCAGACCAAGTTTGCTTTAGTGCAGCAGGAAACACAAGGCGAACATTTGACGGAGAGAACGTATCAAATGCAGCCCAAGGCAAACGCTATAAAATTCAGCAAAAATTCTACATAGATAAAAAAAATGTTTGATTAATTCCAAATATGGGCAAGGCAAGCTCTGAACTTGATCTTGAGACAGCCTCCGAGTTAGTCTCAACCTCCGACTCTGGCTGTGACCAGTTTTCCTAGCCGGCTTGCATTGAGCTTGAGTCGGCGTTCACTTTTGCAATTGCAGTCAGTATTCTCTGGCTGCTATAAAAGCAGCACTCGAGTCTCCGATTGACAACAGTTGCAAATCATTTGCTCAGCTTAACAAATCCACCTGAAACACAACAGCATAGTCACATTCAAAATGTTCAAAGTTGTGAGTATATTGAAGTGGAGCTAGGTCTGATGGTGGAGCTGATCCATTAGCTGACAGCGTATCTCTCTTTTGCAGCTGTTCGTGCTCGTCGCTTGCGCCGCTGTCCAGGCCTATGCCCATCCGGGAGTAGTCGCCGTGGCTCCGGTGGTGCACACACCAGTGGTCGCTGCGGCTCCCGCAGTTGTGCACTCACCAATCATTCATCACGGCGCCCACTCGGTGCACTCGTAAGTAATCAGATAGTGAGCACTTGACTTGAATATTACATTAATCTTTTAAAACGCCCACACACTTATCCAACAGGCACGTTGTGCATCATCCCGCCCCTGTAAGGGTGGTGCATCCAGTCGTCGCCAAGCCTGTGGTCGCTGTGCATGCCGTGAAGCCCATTGTGCCCCTAGTGCCAGTGCATCATGCTGCTCCCGCTGTTGTGGTGCATCATTAGAGAGCCTACCCGATTTCCGATACCCGCTCCTAACCCCTAACCCATCCCGACCCATCTCCCAGCACATTCCAATACCACAATAAAGGTTCATAGCCACGTAAATTTAAAGAGTTGTCATTTCTTTGTTGGCTCACTTACCTGTCTAGCGACACGGCAATTAAGCTGTAAACCGAAGCCGCGACCGAGACACCCTGTATGTAGGGCACAAACTTACACATCAGCCAGCCCAGCATCCAAGCTGCAAGAGAAAATATAAATAGTTAGAGGAGCGTTTTTCATTGAGCCTCAACTTTGCAATAGCCGTTAACTTGAGTATAGCCAACTGCTGAATACGCGCTTACAAACTAAGAGCACGAGGAAATAATTTTTTACGAGCGAACACCTTTTGAATTGAACAAAATATGGTTCAAAGCGAATATACTCAGCTTAACATCCAGGGCCAGCATCAAAATTATGCTGAGTAACTTTCGGTCATGTCTGTGTCTGTACTCCTGTTGTTGTCCTAGTCGCGGTCGTGGTGGCTGTGGTCATAGGCGGAGTCCTGTTTGCGGTCCTGGTTAGCGTTCAATGCATTATGTTCATGTTTTTTTTCTTTCTAGTCGGTCGTCCACGTCGCCGACATCGTTGTTTGCTGACTGAGATTTATGTTCTGCATATCATTCATAATTTGGTGACAAGTCTCAGATTGCCAAGAAGCCAGCATGAGGCGTTGTTTGCCAACGATGCCAAAAGCACGCAGCTGAGGGCTGCTGGCCAAGTTAATTTGTATTCCCTTTATTCTATTTGATGAAAGATGGAAGACATGATTCGCACTGTCTATAAATACGCACACATATACATTGACAGTTAAAGAAAATACACTCGGAAAAGAAAAGAAAAGAAAAGAAAAGAGGAGCAGTTCACTTAAATTGGGGATTTCAAAATAAAAAATCTAAAATCTGGATATGGACTAAAATATTCTTCACCATCTCACTCCCACAACAAATGAAAAGTTATCCAAAGCCAATCAATACTTTATACTAGACTCTTTCTTTCAGTGTCTAGTGGCTCTGCCTTTGGCTGTTGAGTTATGACTTGAGATGCCAACAGCAAATAACTTAGTCAGACACAAAAGGCTCTAAAATACACACGCACACACGGAGGACTGAAGGAGTAGAGGGTTGGCGAGGGGCGAGGGGCGAAGGGCTAAGGGCGTGGCAAGGAATGTGCCCTGTGGCACATGTCATCAAGGTTGATGACAGTGCCAAACGTGTTTGCGGCATGACATATCGAATGGCAATTAAAAGGTGCTAATAACCACAAGAACAACCGCATCATTAACTCAGTGCGGGAGTTCAATGCACCAGCCTCAGCCCCACCGCTGACCCCTCTCTGAACCCAGCCACCCACACAGTCAGGGGTCAGAGGCATGCTGCGCAAATATATGCTCATATGTGGCTTCTGTCTAATTTCCTGTCTCGTTCGCCTGTCTTATCTCGTTTCGGTATATTATGCATACGCGCCGTGCACCGCCGAGTCGGGCCAATAATAAAGCGCAAAATTTAATGTGATTTGGCACATAAAAATATAAATATTATTATTATTTCTGTGCGCTTTGTGTGCGYTTTGACCAAGTCAACACACTCCAGACGACCACTCAAAAGACATGAGCACAGTTGGACAGTTGACAGCTCTGGACAGCAACTTAAATAGATTTTGGTTACTTTTCTCAACTCTGATACCCTGTAATTCATGCAACAAGGCGTATCATGATAATTCTATATATGTATATGTTATGTTTCTTTTCAGTAATCTGTTTTCTACCTACATTTAAGGTAATTACTGAGCTGGCTTGCTTTTGCTCGAAGACTATACGAATTGTAGACATCAAATTATTTATGATGGATCCTATACAGTATTATAATGGATCAATATAAACTTTTGATGAAGGTATCTGCAAGTCGAGCACTTTCACTTCTATTCTACTCGATTCTATTTTTGCAACTTCAAGTGCAACAGTCTGTGATATATTCAAGTTATATCCGTTGCTATTAATATTTAGCTATTTATTTTGGCGCTGGCCTTCGGTTTGATATATCGCTTACACAAAAGTTTGTCTTCGTTCAAAACTTTGCCTCGAAGTTTCAATGTGAACGCAATCAAATTGAGTCCAGTCCGAATTAGTGAGCTCTTCTTCCTCTTACTCTCCGATTGGCAGCATATGCTGCTCGAACTTAGCTTGAAGTTTGTATTTGTAGGCACTAAGCGGATGGCCGCAGAAAATATTGATGGACTGCAGCTGATAATTCCAATCGATATTTACAGCTTATCACCACGACCTTCGCTCCTGGATGGATGCACTCTGACCCGCAGGCAAATGTCAAACAGCTAAAGACAAGCCAAGCCCTTAGGATTGCTGATTGCAATACCCTTTCGTTAAGGATATACAAATTTTAGCAGGCATTGTGTAACGTGGTGGTTTCCTAATTGAAAGTGCTAAGTTCTGGGACTCATCTCTTTAAATACCCTACATAAAAGTGTCATGGGGAGTTTATATGATTCATATTTATATATAAATTTTAGACTGAGCAATGGAACAAGAAATAAGTGGAGAATCGATATTCATCAACATAACAGATGTTTCTGACTGCCTATATAAGGGTATTCCAGGCTTCGTCATTTCATAGGACTACAAGCTTTGTCTCCGTTTCTGAGCCATGTCAGCGCAAAAGTTAGCGCGAACTTATATCGTAGGCCACGCTAATGGGATTTGGTTTTGCATTGTTTGCGACGCTTCGCTGATTTTTGGTTTGAGTTCTGGGGCCATAAAGTTAATAAAATAATCGGGTGGAACAAATCCGACAATGTGGCTCGACAAGATTTCGCTTCGATTGAAATGGGCGTGAAATATCCATGGATGGGCGCATAACACTTCAAGAAAATGCGTTATTGTTATGTTTATCGCTGCTGTTGCTGCTGCTGCGTCACGTCCTGCGGTGACTGCTGTCACTTGGTCCTAAATTGAATTGAAGGGGCCGAAGGACTCAGGCCAGCAACTAGCACCAATCGAGTGCTGTGCCACGGGCACGTAGCATCTAAATTAAAATACAATCGGAAAGTGAAGAAAAATTACTTCATCATAAAGAGCAGCCGCATCGGCATCAGCAGCAATAGCAATAGCATTCCAACAGTGCTCTGTAGCCGCGTTACGCATACACGCCGTGAGTCAAGAATATCGCAAATCAGTCGGCGCTATTTAATGAAGTAACCAGCAAGCATGATTTTAAAATACGTGACTTAATTCCACCAATACGACGTGCGAATCGTACAGCCAGCGAACGCTGAAATCATTTAATTGAACATATCGTAGGATACCAAAATTATTCTATTTCCATGATTTTCAAATTTGTCGGAAAGCAGATTACCCATCTGCAACTATTCTTTGGTAAAAATATTCTTGCATCAGAGCCAAGTAGTACAATGATTTATGCTTAACCAATTATTAAAATTAATGTTTCTATTTCTTCTTATAAATAGTGTTTAAATATTGCTAAGGTCTGCCACGGCGTGGGGCGAAACGTATTTTCTATTCCTACATATACTCGAAAATTACAGGTTCCTGTTTGGGTATGTTCCCGATAGGCGAAAGCCTATTGTTGATAACAATCCCGTTTTTAGTGAAGGTTAGCCCTACATATAGTATATTCATTATTAAAATCCTTACTAAATCATATAGGTGTAACATTTCTTCTGCTTAAATTTGCATATAATATATAATTAACTGAAGTCGTTTTATTGATTAGTCTTAATCTCAGATTAGAAATTAGCTTAACTAAGGACTCTTCTTTTGTGCAAACTCTCGCAAATGCAATGCAATTTGTAAACCACTCACGTAATGATAAGAATTTGGCATTGCTAATGTCTAAAGGAGTCACACAATTGCCACATAGAATCCAATTAGAAAGTACGCTAAGGACATGCTGGTGTAACGCCTCGTCTCAAGGTAGCATCGCTCGGCAAATCAATTCAATTCGCATTTTATTGGTTTTTCGAAACACACATAAATAAAGGCTCAGCTCAGCCCAGCCCAGGTAAACCAACACACACTCACACTTACACACTCACAAACACACACTCATAACAGCGAGCGAGTTTAACCCTGAAGAGGAAAATATTTAGGTCAATTCATCCAGCCAGCCGCACAGCGAAAAGGTCCTTGAATGCAAAACAACCTTCCATTGCAGTGCTGAGGTGTGCTTAGGTAATGATAGCTCCAAAGCGTAAGAGACCCCCTTGAAGCCTCTTCTGAAGAGTCGTGTGCACACACACATAAATACAAATGTATGTAGGCGATAAGAAGTAAATATACATCATGCCTGTTGACCAAATTCGGTATTGAAGGTGGAAATGGACGCTCTCTTAGCTAAACGTCCTTTCGGCCATTTGCTTTAACGTGCCGCAACTTTTCACAAGTCAAAATGCCAAGCAGCCAGCATTCAATATGTGCCCAAGGGCTGTCGCAATTTATTTATTGTTGTTGCTAGTTGGGCCTATTGCAGTGGCAGCTGCGTTTGCCACTGGGTCTGGGTCTGGGTCCGTGCCTTCCCCCAAACCCAAGTCAATACACACACACACACACAGACATTCGTACACACACAAGCAAATGCGGAGTGACCCACTAAGCACTGGGCAGCCCGAAGCACCCTGCGCCTATGTTGAATTTGTGAAATTAGGTCAGTTCTGTGTCGATGATCCTTCAGGCCRCCCCAAACGGCAGCCAGCACGAGAACGAGAACGAGAGCGAGAGAATGGGAGAGTGGGAGAGTGGGACAGTGGGTGCCAGAGAGACAGCGCGAGTGCGCACTAATACACACTGCACCACACAGACACACACAAACACACAGCCCATTCAGTTTTTCAATCGTCTCTTGCCTTTCGTTTCGTTTACTATACCATCTCATCCCCTCTCTCACACTCACTGAAGCGCTCTCTTCTTTTCACTCCCTATCTCCCTCTCTGTCTCTCTAGCCACCTTTGTGCATGCATGTCTTCGGGTCGAGCAACATTTTCTAAGGCGGGCGCATTTAATTGGCAAACGTTGGCGCCAGCTGCGAGCCTCTAAATGCTAGCAGCTGAATATATGTTGGGGTAGCTACTACTTATACTACAACAACCATACAGGTGGAGAAAAGAAGGCTACTGGTGTGAGGTGAGGGGCGCGGGAGTCGTGCCCTGACATGTCAGGCATTGCAATCACTGTTTGATTTCTGAAGGATTTTGATCATTTTTTCATGTCGGCGCCGATTTGCATGCAATTTCTCAGCTGCAAAAGCTTTGCGACAATCCATTTACCCAGTTGCTATTTGACAGTTTACACACACACACTTAGAGTCTCCACAGACACACATAGAGCATGCAGGTGATGTCAATTTATTAAAACTAAGTCAATTTATTAAAACGCGTAGCCTCGTTTATTGGGGCCAAATATAGAAAAGAACATAAATATATAAACATATATTCTATAAATATTCTCCGATGAAATTGTCTCATTTACGTAATTATTTTATTGATTTTAGCCGAGCATAATTATTTTTCAATAATAAATTGATAACTTCATTAAAACTTCTGAGCCAAAAGTTAAGCAAAGTTAAGCAAAGAAATATTTACAAATACATATATTCGAATACACTGTATTCTCGCTTTACTGTAAAATAAAAGAACATACAATAAACACAATGAACATAAACACAAGAAAATTAAATAAACACAATGAAGGAATCAACTAAAATTTTTATTGTTTAGATCACGAATGAATATTATAAAATATAAATAAAATATTCTGTTTAAAACGATAAAAAAAGTAAAATTTAATTAATTACCATAAGTATTATAATATATTTCCCATAGACTTTTACAAATCTCATATTTCAGTTTCGACCTCCGAAGCATAGCCTTGTAGCCGACTCTCGCCCTCAGCCAAATTACTATCAAAGTAAATGATTGCCAATATGAAAAGGCAACCATGTTCGTTTGCTGTATTTGACATGCAACATGGCAGAAGTTTTCAGTTAGATAAGAGAGAATCGGATACGGTTAGATGAACTCATTATAGTCGGACGTACTTCGTTTCCTATATGTACTCGCAAGGCTATAAAAGCTGATGGTAATTGCATAACAGTGTACCCTCCGAGGATGGATGGATAGATGGGGTTGGGGCAGCATGTTGGCTAAGAACCCATAAAACATGATGATAATGCACGATAATATTTCAGTTTCATTTACTTCATTTCAGCAGATGTATTTTGCTGGCATTAGCATTAAGAAGAAAGCATTAGGCTTGATGCTCCTTCCCGACAAATTGCGCATACGTCACATGTCGCTGGCGTGGGGCCTAATCCAAGTGCCGATTAATTGCTAAACATAAATCCAGTCAATATGCGTGGCTCGCAAAAGTACCGAATAAAGGAAGCGAAACAAATGCAAATGAAAGGAACTGAAAAAAACAACCGAGACGTGCTAATGAGGACCAACTGAAACTCCGCTTAGGTATATATGTATGTATATAGTTATGTATATAGTATCAATGTAAACTATTCCATCAATCAATAAGACAATCAAACAAACATTGTATACAAAGTATACACATAACGGTTATAAAATATACGATATTTTGAACAGATCTGTAATTTTTGTAATCAATCAAACTGTCATCAATCCCTCTGGCAATCAGACCAATCAAACAATCGGAAAATGGAGAGCCATGAATATAAATATGGTGCAGCTCAATCGGAATGTCTACTTACGCACAAAGATGTTGCCGATGAGCGTGGCGGGCAGGCAGAACACAATGACTAGGATGTCGGCAATTGCCAAGTTGACAATGAAGTAGTTGGTGACCGTGCGCATACGAGGAGCTCGCAGGACGACGGCGATAACAAAGCTGTTGCCGATGAGTCCCACGACGAAGACCACGATGTAGGCCACACAGTACACAATGGACATGGCCAGCGAGTGGCGATAGAGCGGATCGAAGCCAAAGTCCACACTTCCGTCCAGTTGCTCCCAGCGCAGAATGCTGTCGTTGTAGGACTTGGTAGCAGCAGCGGCTGTGATCAGGCTGGTCGTAGCTGGCGACATATTCAGCAGGCTGGCATAGTAGGTGGATGAGGTTGCATCGTGGACCAGTGCCAAATGGGAAGTGCTTGTTGCAGCCGTTGCTGATGTTGCTGCTGCAGCCGCTGCCGCTGTTGCTGTTGTTGTTGTTGCCGCAATGCTCGAGATTAGGGATCTGGCAGCGGGCGCCACTGTGGCCGTTGCCGTTGTTAAGATGGTACCCAAAAGAGTGTCCGTAATGGAGCCGTTAGTCAATTTAATAGCACTCGATGTGCTCGACAAGTTGGCAGTAAGAGCAATATTGTCGCTGCTGTTGTTGTTGGAGTTGCTGCTGTTGCTGCTGTTGCTGCTGTTGCTGCTGTTGCTGCTGTTGCTGGCATCCTCATTGAAATTCAAGAGATTTTGCAAATCCAAGAAATTATGCGTGAAATTATTAGCGCTGGCATTCGAGAGTAATTCATTCTGCCAGTACCTAACCGCCTCTGGCGTGGGCGTGGCATCTCTGCTGTCAGTTACTGCTGCCGTTGTTGTTGCTGCTGCCATTGCTGCCGCTGCTGTTGCCGTTGTCGTCGGCGTGTCGCCAGCTATGTGGCTTCTGTGCTTGCGTTTGCGAATTGCCATCCTCCAGCTAAGTCTGGCTCCGATTAATGTCAGATATAAGCTATGTTCCTTAACTATTCCTGTTCTAGTATATGTTGCTGTTGTGTATCTGTTGCTGTTGCTGTTGCTTGCTGTTGTTCTTTTTATAAAAAGTCTATAAAATTGGCGTCACTTGGCATGTTGTGCTCACAAAAAATATATGTATTTATATGTATATACGTTTTATAAAGGTTTCGCTCTTCGAGTTTGAGTTTGAGTTGGGGTTTGAGTTCGAGTTCTAGTTGGGTTCTTGCTTTGGATATGTTGATATTTTCGTGGCTGTAGCAAATTATACAACATTCAATTTAATTTAAGCACAGCGAAGTGTGTAGCATGATGTGTAACATAGAAAGGATACTCTGTTAAAGCCTTAGCCATGTTTCCGAACGACAAGAACCGCTCAGTGGTTAATGACTTTCGGACTTTTAATTGGGGCCTACTATAACTATGGCATAAGTAAATCTAAAATATTTAATTTCTTATCAATTCAACACAAAACTTTAGGTCGCAATATTTGGTTTTGTTTTGCCCTCACTTTTAGTACGAAATTGTAAAATAAATAATATATTCTTGTCTTTTCATAGTATCGGCAGATATCAGTCATGTGTCCTTATGTGTCTTTATGTATTCACAGTAATAAAAAAAAAAAATGTGTTTTAAATTTAAATCACGAAATTTCTGATAAAATTTTAATGAAAAAGCCGTTTGCTGAGTAACTTTTAGCTGTTTATTCTCTACAAAAGCACTTTTATTTTGTGGGTTAATTGTTGTTGTTTTTGCTATTGTTGTTGTTGTTCCTGTTGTTTTCACCCGCCAAGGTTGCAATGCAGTTTTTTGTGCAAAATATGTGTAACTGCATACTAAAGCTGCGATTGCACCTATAAAATGAGTTGTTGTTGCGTTTGTTAATGTTCTTGTTATTCTTGTTGTTGTTGCTGCTGTGGTTGCTGTTATTGTCGGGTATTGAGTTATTCGGGTTGTTCGTCAGCTGGCGTTGCCTTGAGTTGGCATTACGAGTGCCCCAAGGACTTGTGTGCATATTTTAGATAAGGCCAAATGCTGGGTGCCCTGGACTCAGTGCATCTCGCAAGGTACCTTCAGTGCGCCCCCACCCCTCCCCCCAAAATGTGGGCGTGGCATAGGCTGCAGGCTGGACGAGGCGGTGGCGGACGCGCAGACGGAGGCTGAAGCTCAGGGACAGGGACATGGCCACAGCACGCACACATGCGCAGCCAACTGTTATTAACTAATTGAATTGTGATTATTCTTGTTGCACTTTGACCTCAAACGAGGCGTGCCAAATGTGTAAAGAAAGGCCACAAAATAATAGAAGTGCCAAAAGCACGAAACACATTGATGAAGTGCCAAGAAAGAACAAAATAGATAGAAATAACAAATAAATAAATACCGAAATTTTATTCCGATCATTTTTCGCTTCATTTATAT